TACTGCGGTAGGAAGAACCCAAATACCGATGCAGCAGCCACAAAACTATGACTTGTCCCTTCCAGGATAGAACAGCCCGACCACTTGTCGTATGATTCAGGCCAACTCTGCACAACATGGTGAACCCAAAGCTCCATCAAGAAAAACACCCTTCTTTGCTAGTAATCTCTCAAGTATAAAAAAATAATTAGTGTAGTAAAGAGTAGATGAGATGAACTATTTATAGGCCACTAGGACTTTACAAAATATACCAAAAAATAATAATGACCATGAATCTAGAGAAAAGAGAGAGTCCAAAAAAATTAACTCACCACCGAGTCCATGAACCTAATTAATCTCCATTCATGAACAAAACAAAAGGTCACCAAAATAATGAATCTCTATTCATGAACAATATGAGATTTATGAATAAGACAAAAGAAAATTCATGAACAAAATATATATATATATATATATATATATAAATAAATAAAAGATATTAAAACGGTCCAACAATCCCCAACTCATTTTAATATCAACAAGGACAAGAGAGATTACCAAATAAAGATAGACTAGTATGCATCATGAAGATGTGCTCTGCATTGAACCTTCACTAGTAAAATAGCAACCTCTACTCCAGAGTTATAGTAGTGGTCTCAAACTTGAACCATGACTTCTTAGGGGAAATAAAGTATTACTGCTCACACATAATAATCCAGGTATTGACATGAGCTTCTAATAGCAGCACATTACGGCCTTATGCCTATCCCAGTTTTCATGAGCATATTTTAGAATAAGCCTTGTTCTCACAAAAAGCGGCCCCACTTTCATGCTCACATAGGTGAAATCTGTCAAGGATGTTCCTATAATTTACACACCCCACTCAACAACAGTTACAGAATTTCATTAAGAGTATAAAAACTCAACCCTCCAACATTACAGGACAAATGTACTTACATCATAGGGATGGACAACAAAATATTAAGGAGTGCATTTTTTACAACCATCATATGATTCGTTCTTCCCATTGAACCTAGTTACAGGATCTCTGGTCCCCAGGTTGGGTATCCTCATACATGATTTATGATTTTACAGGCTTCAAACCCATACTCCTCGACGTATTCCAAATCTATCTCTCGCCAAGGCCTTGGTTAATGGATCCGCAAGATTATCACAAGATCTTACATAATTCACAGTTATAATGTCATTACTCAAATAGGGTCTCACATTACTATGTTTCCTTCGAATAGGTCTGAATTTACCATTATAAAAATGATTGTTCACTCTACTAATAGCAACAGTGCTATCACAATGAATTAACATAGGAGGAATTAGTTTTTTTCAAAAAGGGATTTCATGTAACAAATCTCTCAACTAATTCGCTTCCCCACATGCTGAAGCTAATGCTATAAGCTCAGCTTCCATAGTTGAATTAGTAATTATAGTCTGTTTTTTAGACTTCCAACATATAGAACCACCACCCAAGGTAAAAATAAAACCAGAGGTAAAGAGAGAATCACCTGACAAAGTGTTTCAATCGGCATCACTACATCCCTCAAGTACCGCAGAATACTTGTTATAAAACAAACCATAATTTTTGGTACCAGATAAATATCTCATAATTCTTCCCATAGCTAGCCAATGATCTTGACTTGGCTTGCTAGTAAACCTGCTAAATACTCCAACAGCATATGCAATGTCAGGTCTACTACAGTAAATAGCATATCTCAAACTATCAATCATGCTAGCATATTCTTTTTGATTAATCACTTCTTTTTCATTTGTTATAACAGATAAATGTATGCTTGCATCAAAAGGAGTAGCAACATGTTTACAGTCTAGAAAGTTGTATTTCTTTAAAATTTTCTTAACATAATGCGATTGATCAAGAAAAATGCCATCATTAGTTTCCGTAATTTTAATTCCCAAAATAAAATTGGCTTCACCAAGATCTTTCATATCAAAGTGGCTATTAAACATATTTTTAGTCCCATTTATAACATGCAAATTAGAGCCAAAGATAAGTGGATCATCCACATATAGGCTAATAATTACATGTGCATTCTCACAAGTTTTATAATATATGCACTTATCACATTCATTAGTCTTATAACTATTCTCAGGCATGCAGGAATCTGTAAAAATTTATGTATTATTGATTGATGTTTATTACAATGATTCATGATTCCTATATATAGAAGAGGGTGAGTGTGTAGTAGGTAAGGAGTAGGTGAAGTGGAGGTGGTAGTGGTGTAGTGGGTTAGGTTTAGTGGAGTAGGTGAGGTGGTAGTGGTGTAGTGGGTTAGGTTTAGTGGAGTAGGTTTAAGTGGGTAAAGTAGGTGATAGGTTTTAACAAATTTCGCATGCCACTGTTTAGGAGCTTGTTTTAAACCATAAAGGAATTTAGTTAGCTTACACACCTTGCTTTCTTGGCAGGCTCCACAAAACCTTTGGGTTGGTCCACGTAAATCTCCTCATCTAGATCTCCATTTAAAAATGTTGTTTTCACATCCATTTGATGAAATTTTAAATTCTGAATTGCAGCGACTGCTCTCAACAGTCTAATGGATGTAACTCTAGCAACCGGAGAAAAAGTATAAAAGAAATCAAGATCAAGTTGCTGCTTAAAACCTTTAGCGACAAGTCTCACTTTATATTTATCTATAGTTTCATCCGGTTTAAGTTTTTAACAAATGACCCATTTACACCCAATAGTTTTAAAACCTTGAGGTAAATCCACTAACTTCCATATTTTATTTGAAAGTAGTGAATCCATCTCATCATTTACAGCCTCTCTCCAGGAAATAGTATCAGGTGATGATAAAGCTTCTTACACTGTAAGAGGAATTTCTTCTACATTGTAAAGATAATAGTCAAGGCCAAAATCTTTTTCAACTCTAGCTCGTTTACTCCTCCTTGGTTGGATTTGAAAATTTTCTTATTCTTGAAGAACTTGAGATGGAGTAGAAGAGAAGTATGGATAAAATATTTTTAGAAATTATTTGACTCCCACTATTTCTAAATTTGAAAGGAAATTTATTTTTGTGAAAAATAGCATCACCTGATTCAAAAATAATATTATTTTCCATATCAAAAAATCTATAAGTTGTACTATGCAACGCATATCCAAGAAAAGCACAAGTGGTAGCTCGTTCACTCAATTTAGGTCTTTTAGGATTTGTAAGCCTCACAAAAGCTAAACGACCTCAAACCCTCAAATAACTTAGATTTGGTTTATGCCCCCTCCACAACTCATAAGGTACAATTTTAGTCTTTTTGTGTGGCACTCTATTTATCACATGGCAAGCTATCAAAATAGCCTCGCCCCAAAGATTTAAGAGAGCACCTAAATCAATAAGCATAGTGTTCGTCAAGTTAATTAACGTTCTATTTTTTCTTTCAACTACGCCATTAGATGAAGATGAATATGGTAAAGTAGTCTCATGAATAATTTCCAATGACTGAACAAAAGAGTTGAATCCAAGAGATTCATACTCCGGGCCTCTATCACTTTTAATTCTCTTAATCTTTTAACCGAATTGATTTTCCACTTCAAGAAGGAATTCTTTAAACTTCTCAAAAGCATCACTTTTATTTTTTTAATAAATATACGTTTGTGTATTTTGAAAAATCATCAATAAAATTGATAAAATATCGGTTACCACCCTAAGTTAAAATTCCTTCAAGCTCACACAAATCAGTATGAAATAATTCTAGCAATTCGGTATTTTTTTTAACACTTTTATGAGACCTCTTGGTAATTTTTGTTTTACTACAAACTTTACATTTCTCAAAATTTTTTGTCACCTTAGGAATTAATCCTAAACTACTTATGATTCTCACATATTTACTGTTAATATGACATAAGCGAGTATGCCAAAAATTAATAGAAGACAAAGTGTTAAGTGATGTCATAGTAATAATCATAAAATTAATCAGCAAGACAATTTAAGAGATAAAAACGACATTTATACTCATCTGTATTGTAGGAAGCCACTTTTGCTTCATGTGCCTCATAGTCTTCATCATTCATTTCCTCGATTGGGATTTTGTTTGGGTTCTTCTCAATAAGAACATATGCAACTTTCAAAAGGCTGAGGTAAAAAAGAAATTTTCATTTCCACATTTTATAATGAACTCCCTTGAACTTGAAAAGCTTGTTGAGATCTCCAATTCCGTCATTGTTTTTTTTTTTTTCCAGTACTTGTTCCATGGTTGATCTCCTTAAAATTGTTGGTGAAAATATCAGAAAAAAATTATACTTTATTGATAGATAATGCAAAGAAAATGAGATACAAATAGATCAGGCTGAGGCACGGATATCTCCTTTTCTTTAAGGAGCTCAAGCCTACTGCGGTAGGAAGAACCCAAATACCAATGCAGCAGTTACAAAACTATGACTTGCCCTTCCATGATAGAACAGCCCGACCACTTGTCGTATGGTTCAGGCCAACTCTGCACAACATGGTGAACCCAAAGCTCCACAAAAAAAAACACCCTTCTTTGCTAGTAATCTCTCAAGTATAAAAAAATAATTAGTGTAGTAAAGAGTAGATGAGAGGAACTATTTATAGGCCACTAGGACTTTACAAAATATACCAAAAAATAATAATGACCATGAATCTAGAGAAAAGAGAGAGTCGCCAAAAAAATTAACTCACCACCGGGTCCATGAACCTAATTAATCTTCATTCATGAACAAGACAAAAGGTCACCAAAATAATGAATATCATGAACAATATGAGATTTATGAACAAAAGAAGATTCATGAACAAAATATATATATATATATATAAAAATAAAAGATATTAAAATGATCCACCAATAACCAAACCAACAAGAATGTAAAAGCTGAAAAGAAACGCAATTGGATAATTTCGATTAACAATACGCTAGCTACAATGAAAAAGCCGTCGAAGTTGAGTATATATAAAGTTCCAAACAAACTTTCAAAACTTACGGAAGATGCCTATACACCTAGTATTGTGTCCCTCGGACCTTTTCATCATAACAACAAAGTGATGCAAGCTTTTGAAGAGCACAAACGGCGACACATGCTACATCTTTTTGTGAGAATATCTGGAGCTGAAAAATCTAAATCTACCCTCCAGGGTTGTGCCACTGCCATACTAGAATTGGAAGAAGAAGCTCGAAGATGCTATTCAGAAAAAATAGCCTCGGACGAGTACGAGTTAGCTGAAATATTGCTAGTTGATGGCTGCTTCTTACTTGAACTGTTTTTGAAATATTCAGATATTGAGAACCACGAGGAGGACAAAGTTGAGGACCCCCTTATCAATAATGCTCGGACTATTACAACTCTTCAACATGATTTGGTATTACTTGAGAACCAGATTCCATTTTCTGTTCTGGAGGCTTTGTTCGGCATTATAAAAGACAATGTGCCGCAACCATTACGATCCTCATTTATTGAGTATAATGTGGCCACTTTAGCACTACTCTTTTTCAAATCGGCTTTGGGTTTGAGCGACAAAGCAATTCAAAGTAAATCCTCAAAACTCTCTGGTAAGCATTTACTTGATATCTTGCACAATTTTTACCTCCACACATCTCTCAAAAGGCGTAAAATTTTGCACAAATCCCACCTCCCCATATCTTGCAAAACCCGCCATGATGATGATGATCGTCAATGCTTGCTAATAAATGGATTTGAAAATTGTGCCACACAACTTTTGAAGACAGGAATTCAATTTCAAGGCAAAACCCAAGAAGAAAATTTCCTAGACATAGAGTTCACAACTGAAGTTGTTACAATGCCACTATTAGAGATACGCGAAGCTACATAATCAATCTTCCGAAATCTGATTGCTTTTAAGCAATGCAGCATTGACACCTCACATTGCATTGCATCGTATATCTTCCTTATGAGGAGTCTCCTTAATTCCTCACACGATGCTGAAATTCTTCATCACAATCATGAAGATGTTTCGACTCTCTTCAAATCTATGTGCGATGGAGTTGTTTTGAAGGACTTTGTTTTTCCGATTTGTGTACCAATGTTAACAAGTACTCTAGGTCTTGGTTGGACTGGCGCAGACTTCGAGCGATAGTGAACGTGAAGTCGCGTGAATATATGATAGCATTGCCGCGTGATTATTTCACTAATCCATGGACTACCATATCTGTCATTGCTGCAATTGTGCTTCTCAACTTCACTGCCCTGCAAACATATTACACTGTCCGATCTTTTTATCCTCACTAATTTCAAATTTATTCATGGAAAGCCATTGACAATGATTTGGGAAGAGATGATTTTGACATCCAATAATGCTAAGATTACTATCTCTTCTTAGCACTACTGTTTTGACCACAGATCGATTTGGCAAGGTGCAATTAAATTTAAAATATGTTTTCAGTTGTTTTAATCAATAATGTGATTTGTATTTTTTTTTTCTTTTTGGAAGTGTGTTTTTGGGTACTTGGACTTAGGAATGGCAACGGGGCGGGGCGGGGCCGGGCCGGGGATCACACTCCCCGTCCCCGATCCCCGATGGTGGAAATCCCCCCGTCCCCGGCCCCGATCCCCGACGGGGACTTATCACCGCCCCCCGTCCCCGCCCCCCAACGGGGATCGGGTTTCCCCAACCCCGAAATTCCCCGGACCCAAAACATTTCAGAGTTCATCAGCTTCATCACCGGCGACAATTTGCTCTGGGCCAAAATTATTAATTATTCAACATAAATTTATAAACTTCAGTCGAATAGAATTGAGTGGATTCAAAATTATTAATTGGACCGAACTATTACGTGACTATATTTTTCATCAATTATAATTTATCATATTTTTTTTATATTTTTTAATTATTCAACATAAATTTATAAACTCCACTCTCTATCAATTATGGTATTATTAAAATAATACGTGACGATCCACAACAACTTCACATGGATCTGAATCCGTTTCCATTTTACTTGGTTGACGGATGACTTACCAATGACTTTCTCAAGTCTTCCCTTTCCTGAGTCTTTGCCCCAAAAGGTGGACAAGGAAGGGGGCCCATAAAGAGGACAAGGAGGAAACGTAAGAGGATAGGCAAATGCCACATCTACATTCAATATTGTGAAAGGAACACTTCAAATTGTTTTAAATGGTCAATTTATTACAGAAATTTTGAAGAAAAAAAAAATGAAACACCAATAAATTTTAAATTATAATTTTATAAAATGCTTGATCTTTTTTTTTTTATAATAGATTTAATGGTCTCGTTGTAGTGTGAATTGCATAAAAAAACTAATTATAAACGCACGCGTGTTATGTATTAAGAGACAAATATGAGTTTTCTCATAATGTTAAAATTACTAAACGTAATACTTCAAAAAAAGTCATTAGTATACTTTTTTCCAAACGTAACACTCTAATCTAATACTCAAAAAATATAACACTCCAATGTAACACAAAAAAATTATTTAATATATTTTTCTCAAACGTAACAATGTAAACATTCTAAAAAACCTTCAATTGGCTAACTTTTATTGAATTATTAAAAAAAAAAATCTTATTATGCCTTGATTTACACATTTCAAAAGAAAAATTAATTAATCTATTTATAAATTTAAATTTAGAAATTTGAAAAGGAAAGTTAACTAATCAGTTTTAAAATTAAAAAAAAAAATCTTTTAACTTTTATTGAATCATTTAAAAATAAATAAATAAATCTTCTTATGCTTTGATTTACACATTTCAATAGGAAAGCTAATTAATCCACTTATAAATTTAAATTTAAAAATTTGAAAAATAAAGTTAACTAATCAGTTTTAAAATTTTTTAAAAAAAATTATAGTTTTTATTGAATCATTTAAAAAAAATTATTATGCTTTGATTTACACATTTTAAAATGAAAATTAATTAATCCATTTAAAAATTTAAATTTCTAAATTTGAAAAAAAAAAAAAAAACTTAACTGATCAATTTTAAAATTTAAATTTTTGTACCACTAAAATACACAAATCAATTCATATTTTCTATATATATTTTTTTGTTGATGTTTAATTTTTTAAGTAATTAAAAAATTAATTTTTTATTAATTGATAAAAAGCACCGTAAATATTAAGATCATTTTTTTTTTTTTTTTGATATTGAGTTATTAAAAGAGAAAATTTCATTTTTACTCTTATATTTTTCCTTGATGATCAATTACACTCTTAGATTTCAAATAATTTCAATTTTACCCATAAAATTTTTGAAATCGTATCAATTTGGCCCATACCATTACATTTAAACAAAAGAAGTTTAAAAAAATATTTACATTTTGACCCTAAATTTCAAAATAAAAATGCAAACTCACCCTCTCTTCTATCAAATACTTTATCCACAGTGTCAACTATGTATGAGAATCAAGAACATTCCTTTAATGAAACTATACACCAATTTATTTCAATTCATATATTGTTCTTCAAACATTTCAAATCCAAAACACAAAACCCAAATCCCAAACCATTCATTCATTCACATATTGATCATTCATTTGCATCAATCATTCAACCACAACAATATATCACTCCCAACAAATTGAAAAAATGAACTTGTGTACCTCCTCTGCTGATGCAGCTTTCACGGATAGTCCTATCCTAACTTTAATGAGCTCACATAAATCATCCATCTTTAGTTGAGCTTCATTAAAAGCACAAGCATTCCTATGTTTCCGTAATGACCACAACACAGCAAAGGGGATGACTTTCCAAATCCTTTTCTCTAGTTTTTTAAATCTGAAACCCATCCACCATTGAAGTAAACCATCAACGGATCTTGGTATAACGCACTGGGACCTCCACTATTTTAGTATATGGGACCAAACCCTCTAGTACAAAGAACAAAAAAGTAACACATGATTAGCAAATTCAATTTCATCCTTACAAAAGTAGCAAGATATGCTGGAAATGGCATTAAGAACTCCAATTCTTTGTAAAAACAATGATGTTTTGATCCTATCCCTCCAAGCTGTTGGTGCAAATTTGGTAAATGTGATGGAAGAAGATAAAACGGAGAATAATTAAGATTGTTTCAAAGTACGTTATGACGTTACTTTCCTTAAGACAATATTTGTCCTCACTAATTATGTCAAATATGGTGTGCACGTGTTTACTTACGAATCAATCTCTAGGATACAATGAAGCACAGTCTCAAGACTGATGTCTAATTGCATTATACCCAAATGAAATCAAATCCTAAATACCTTTTGATTTTCTAATCTCCCAAGTAAAAGAGGAAAATAACAATATGAAATCTTAGAGAGAAAACCCATGAAATTCATATCCCCAATTGCCAACTCATTCTGACTTTATATAGGCATGAATTTGTGTCATTTGGACTAAGGGTTGCGTGCTTTAGATTCAAAGGTGACATCTTTTTGTTTAAACTCAATTGCCACACCCTTTGATGTTGGAATTATGAATTTATAGGCTTATTTTGGGCCAACTTCGAGCCCAAATTTGAGTGGGGCCCACACGTCTTTTGGGGTGGGTCCAAGAGGTGACGTGTTCCTTGGCGCATGGCAAGTCACACGGTGAAGACGGTTCGTCAAAACTATTTATGAGTGAATGATAAGTTGAAGTCGTTTTCGGGTTCGTGAAATAGACAATCAAAGAAGTAAAATGTGGGTTTTCTTGGAAATGGCTGTCCCGCATTGAAACTTAAAAAAGAACTTATGTGTATATATAAGTTCTAGGTGGAAATACTTGGGTTGGGCCCCAAGGGACACCCTAAGTTTATACAAGAGAGGAGTTATGGACAAAATGAGCCTTGGCTCAAACTACCGCACGTGCGCGGGCGGCGTCGCCGCTGACCGACCGAGCTATGCTGGGTGTGGGTTGTAGGTCGGGTCGATTCTAATATTAATTTTTTTCACAAATTGCTTGGAAATTATTTGAATTTCTAAATGAAATTAATTTAATTTTCTGTCCAAACAAGTTGAACCAGACAGATTTAATTCTAGCAGGTTCAAACTGTTTGCACCCGGACAGATTCAATCTGTTCCCAAACAGATTCAAACCTGTTTCCACAGGTTCAATTCAAATTTGTATCTATTCAGTTTGAATTTGCACCTGTTCGGTTTGAAATTCATACCTGTTCGACCCTATAAATACCAGGACCTTTCCAGCAAATTTCTTCATTCAAAAAATTCATTTTTCTCTTCCCGGTTTTTCTCTCTCTTTGCATTATTTTTCATACTAGTTTTTTTTAGAGAAATTTCTGAGAGTATAGAACACAAGTTCTAGTTCGCTGTACAGATTGTTTTGGAGTGCTATTACAATTTGTGAAGATTATTGCATCCTAAGAGATAGACGTCATTTATCCGTAAGCACCGAAACGGGGTGAATCGGTCTTAAGAACAAAGTGTCACATACTAGACTTCATCAATTTTGTACTTATTCATTTCAGTAAACAAATTCTGTAAATAATTTATTTTATTTGTTTGATTTGGTTTTAAGTTATTTATTTTACACAGAAAATTGTTCCAACAATCTTAACACAAATCTGAATTATTCTATTTATACAGAATTTTTCATTTGTTTCCTATTTTTCATTTCTTCTTCTTACAGAAATTATTTTCCTGTGATTACACAATATAATATTCTGGTTAAAAAATACAAATACTAGTAATATATACTGTGTGACAAATCGTAGTAATATATTGTTTATTTTCTTTGACAACTAATAGTAATATACAGGTAATCATTAACAATTTCTGAATATTCATCTGTAAAGTTGGTCAGAAATTAATTTTGATTTTCAGAAATAATTTCTGAGTGTTCATTAATTAAAATTTTGTTTTCAATATTTTAATTT